TGGCTTTGCCAGATCACATGTGATCTTGGGGCAGATCTCATGTAATCTCAGTCCAAATCTCGTGAGATGTCATTCAAGTCCCATGAGACCTCGGGCCAGCCAGCAAATCTAGGGTCAAAACTCGTAAGGTATCTAGCCAAAACTCTCAAGACCTTGGATGGAACTGGCACTCCCTAGCAGAGCCTGCTTTGTGCCCCTCAGGTAGGTAAGTATCAAACCTTGTGAGATCTCAGTCCAAATCTCATGAGAGCTCCAGCACAACTCACAAGATTTCCCTCCAAATCTCCTGAGATTTCCCGGGCATATCTCATGAAATTTCTACCCAAATCTCATGAATTCTTCATCCAAATCTTGTGAGATTTCAGTCCAAATTTCATGAGATCTCTATACAAATCTTGTGAGATCTCTGTCCAAATCTTATGAGAACTCATTCCAAATATTGTGAGATCTCAGTCCAAATCTCGTGAGATCTCAGGCACATCTCATGAGATTTCTCACCAAATCTCTTGAGATGTCATCCAAATCTGGCCAATCTCTGTCCAAATCTTGAGAGAACTCATCCAAATCTCATGAAATCTCATCCAAATCTCTCCAGATCTCAATCCAAATCTCATGATTTCTCAGGTATATCTGGTGTGATTTCTACCCAAATCTCATGAAATTTTAGTCCAAATCTCATGAGATCTCTATACAAATCTTGTGAAATCTCCATCCAAATCTCATGAGAACTCATTCAAAATATCGTAAGATCTCAGTCCAAATCTCATGAGATCGCAGGCCCATCTCATGCGATTTCTCACCAAATCTTGTGAGATCTCATCCAAATCTCACCAGATCTTAATCCAAATCTCATGATATCTGAGGTACTTCTTGTATGATTTCTACCTAAATCTCGTGAGATCTTACCCCAAATCTCATGAGATTTCTGTCCAAATATCATGAGATCTCAGTACAATTTTCTTGTGATCTTGGTCCAAATCTCATGAGATCTCAGTTGAAATCTCATGAGATCTCAATCCAAATCATGTGAGACTTCAGGCACTTCTCACTAGATTTTGATACAAACCTCATAAGAATTCTGACAAGGGGCACCTAAGTGGTTCAGTCAGTTAAGCATCTGCCTTCAGCTCAGGTCAGAATCCCAGAGTCCTGGCATCGAACCCCACATCAGGTTCCCTGCTCAGCAGGGAGTCTGTCCTCCCTCTGCCTGCTGCTCCCTATGCTTGTGCTCTCTCTCACTCTTGTTCTATCTCAAATTAATAAATTTTAAAAAAATTTTTTTAAAGGTGTCAAAATCTAGTGAGATCTCAGGAACACCTCATAAGATTTCTACCCAAATCTCATGAGACCTCAGTTCAAATCTTGTGAAATCTCAGTCCATATCACATGAGTTCTCAGTCAAATCTCATAGGATCTCGGGCACATCTCAGGTGATTTTGACCCAAATCTCCTGAATTCTTAGTTCAAATCTCCTGAAATCTCTGTCCAAATCTTGTGAGATCTTAGCCCAAATCTCTTGATATCAGCCTGACTCTTGTGGAATTTCAGACACAACTCTGGACATTTTGATCCAAATGTCATGAGACTTCTGTCCAAATCTCGTGAGAACTCAGGCACATCTCATGTGATTTCTACCCAAATCTTGTGAGATCTTAGACCAAATCTCGTGAGAGTGCTGTCCAAATCTAGTGTGAACTCGGGCCAAATCTCATGTGATCTCCTCAAATTCTCAGCAATCTCTGTCCAAATTTCGTGAGAATTCATCCAAACCTTGTAAGATCTCATGAAAATCTTGCCAGATCTCAGTCCAAATCTTGTGATATTGCAGACATATCTTGCATGATTTCTACCCAAATCTCATGAGATCTTAGTCCAAATCTCATGAGATTTCTGTCCAAATCGCGAGAGAACTCAGTACGATTATCATGAGATCTTAGTGAAACTCTCATGAGAACTCCATCCAAATTTTATGAGATCTTAGTCTAACTCTCATGAGATCTCTGTCAAATCTTTTGAGATCTTAGTCCAAATCTTGTGAGATCTTCGTCCAAATCTGGTGAAATCTTAGTCCAAATCTCGTGAGATCTCTGTCCAAATATCATGATACCTCAAGCACGTCTCATGTGATTTCTTCACAAATCTCATGAAATCTTTGTCCAAATAGCGTGAGATCTCAGTCCAAAACTTGTAAGATGTCAGGCACATCTCATGAGATTTCTATCCAAATTTCATAAGTCTTTTGTCCAAATATTGTGAGATCTCAGACAAAATTCAGGAGATTTCGATCCAAATCTCATGAGACTTCTGTCCAAATCAGATGTATTCACCACCAATCCTCTTGGGTAAAAATGAGGAAGGCAAGGAAGGACACTTAACAACTGAGCCACCCGGGCATCCCATGAAAAGACTTTTTAAAAAGGTATAGAACAGGGTGCCCAGGTGGCACAGTCAGTTAACATCTGCCTTTGGATCAGGTCAAGATTCCAGGGTCCTGGGATTGAGCCCCAGGTCCTGGCACGAAGCCCCATGTGGGGCTCCTTGCTCAGTGGGACCTGGCTTCTCCCTCTCCCTTGCCCTCACCCTCTGCCTGCTGCTCTTCCACACGCTCTCTCTCGCTGTCAAATAAATAAAATCATTAATGAATAAATAAATAAATAAATAAATAAATAAATAAAAAGTTATAGAGCAGTGTACATACATGCGTGCACTTGAGTGTGAGCATTTGTGTGGGGAGGTGGGTGTTGATGCATCAACATCAGGTCTAAAAGGTTCTGCATAGAAGGGAAGGTGGGACTCAGAAAAATGAAAGGGTCCAGGGCAAAAGGGCTCACTCCTTCTCCCAGTCTCCATCACTTCATTTCTCTTTTCCTCCCTCTTCTCATACTGCATCCTTTAATTCCAGAAACACTCTCTTTTACCAAAACAGAGGGCACAATTGCACAGCAGGGTTTTGGTCCTTTTCCAGGCAACGCTGCTTCCTTCCTCTGTGAATATGTGGGCTTGTTTATCTACTATCCAGGAGAGAAGGGGTTTCAGGATCACTGATTTAAATAGCAAATGAGAGAAGGGACGAAAGCATGAGATGGTCATCAGCCTTGACCTGTGTGCTGAATGTATGGTTATATGGCATTAGATAATGACGATAAGAAGCCTGACTTCTCAAGTCCTGAAACAAGAAAGCATAAGTTGTCATCAGATGTATTCACCACCAATCCTCTTGGGTAAAAATGAAGGAGGCTAGGAAGGAAGGGGAAAACATGATAGGAAACAGGGCATATCCAGTGAAGCTTTCTGTCTTCGGGTAGGGGTCTCCAGTTTTACCTTTCTTTGGAACATCAGCAGAGGACTGAAAAACAAGGGCAGGTAAGATCTGATCCACAGGGGCGCCTAGGTGGCTCAGTGGGTTAAAGCCTCTGCCTTTGGCTCAGGTCATGATCTCAGGGTCCTGGGAATGAGCCCCACATCAGGCTCTCTGTCAGCGGGGAGCCTACTTCCACCCCCCCTCTCTGCCTGCCTCTCTGCCTACTTGTGATCCCTGTCTGTCAAATAAATAAGTAAGATCTTTAATTTAAAAAAAAAAAGATTTGATCTACAACAACATATTGTTACCTAGAGTACAAAACAAAGAGACTATTTTGAAAGACTATTCTGCCTGCCATTTCAATATTTGAAACTTTCACTCAATGGTTGATGTAGAGATCATTGTTTAGAAGGTCAATTATTAGCTAATTTAGGGCCTGGCAGAGAAGGGAGTTTTCCGCCATCCTGTCTTTGGCTAAAAATTTCCCCTAAAACACTTGTGCAAGAGGGTGGTAATCATGCTTAGCTCAGAGACTGCTGGAAGGCTGTATGTGTTTAGCATACACAGGGCACAAAATAAATGCATGAATATGATTCTTCCTCATATTTCATGAGTCCTTCAAAAGCAGGATCTGGGTCTAATTCGCCTCCCCTCTTTGATTCTTCTGGCCATGATTGGCTTCAGTGTCCCCCACTATAAAGTACACATTGGACTAGAATCCAACCGGCATTCACTTGGCCATGGTTGGCCTGAACGGATGTTTTCTTTGGCCCACGTACAGGTCTTAAAGAAGAAACCAGAGCCGACATTTTAAAATGGAGATATTCTACATAGATATCTAGAATTCCGCTTTCTCTCGAAAAATCAGGAGCTGTGGCAGTGCAGAGTCTGCATTCCTGCATGGCAGCAATCGGCTGGAGCCAGGTGGCAGCTGGCCCCTTAGGTAGACCATGCACTGCCAGCTGGCCAGAGCCTGTCTGGGCAGTTCCACTCATTTATAAGACCTGCTTGACGCTGCAGACAACCCAACTTGGGGCCCTCTGGACAGCTGGAAACAGTCTATGCCAGGCGGAAGGTAGGCACTTACTTGCTCAGTGAGTAAAACTCTTACCATTTTTTATCTCTACCGTTTTCTGGTCTAGTCGTGTTAAGAAACCCCAGTTATTGAGTAAGGTGATTCTCACTTTGGAAAGTAAGTGGAACAGGTCTGTTAGAGTCAGGATGGTCTACGTTATACTGTGACCACAAACAACGCCTCTATCTCACTGCCTTACAACAGCAAGGGTTTATTATTTGTTCACACACATAAATGTGGACACAAAGTGAAAACACCCTTAGATTTTGACAAGCATGGATATAGACGTGAGTGCACAGCTATGTTTGGAATCACAAGTCAAATGAAAACTCTGGCATATGAACACATGACCTCCTACAGAACCCTATTTAGAGACTGACCAGCTTAGATTGCACAACCCTGATTTTATAAGAGACATAGAAGGCCCCAAAATACAAAGCAGTAAGAAATGGAGGTACAAGAATACGCACCCTCAGCCAAGGAATTGCCCCACATAATAAAAAGGGTCTGAAAGGCTTGTAAAAGAAAGTGAAGGTTTAAGAAAATGTTAAGCGTATTGGGTATTAAACATTTTGCAAATGCATAAATAGGCAGCACTCTAGTGAGGCCTCCTCTTCTGGGCTTCTAGGTCAAGAGGGAGATGCACCCCAGATGCCCAGTAGGCAGAGAAATGGAGCTGGCTCCCTGGGTCGCAGAGAAGGGTTAGGAGGCTGGGGTCCTCTATCTTCAGCAGGATCTGCAGAGAGAACGGAAGGAATCAGAGCCAGGTCACATCCATTTCCCCTCCAGGCTCTCCCCTCTCTTTTGTTTTACCCGATCTAGGCTTTGTCACCTGGACTACAGAGTGCAGCACAGCACACTTCCCCGCTGATTTGCCCATCTCGGGTCTTGCTTCCTCCAATCCCTCCATCAGAGCCCCCACATTTCTTTTTGTGGAGCCCAGGATCTCTGAATATGCTCCCCCCAGCTCACACACTCCCTGGCTCCTCACCACCCACAGTTTCTGGTCTAGCCCCTAAGCCTGGCATTCAGGACCCCTGTAATTGGCAGCCTCTCCAGCCTCATCCCCTTCTGTTCCCAAAGTTCCTCCTTCACTCAGGTTGCTGCTTCACTCAAGCATCATATTGCGCCCAACATTTTGGTCTGGGAATGCCCAGCCTTCCCTCTCAGCCTTCCCAGGCTTCTACCCCTCCTCAGACTCCCTCTGGTCCTTCCTCTCCAGGCTCATCATTGAAACTTAGCCACAAAACACAAGGGAACTCTGAAGGCATCCAGGCTGCCCCTGGAGACAGGAATCAAAGACCAGATCTCCCTCCACCCCAGGCTCTTATCACCTATGTATATGCTGCCCACCACAGCAGACTGCAGGGGTGTGGGTAGAGAGCTCTGGGCTGGGAGTGAGGAGACCTGGGTGTTCCACTTGATAGGCTGCATGCCCCAGGGCAAGTCCCTGCCACCAGCAGGACCTCAGTAACCTTGTTTCTCGACGCTAGGGCCCTGGGCATTTGCTTGTTGAGCACAGAGCTGGATAAACTGATGATTCACTGAGCAACCAGCGACAGCCATCTCTGGCACCAGACCAAGGAGCTTGCATACCTGAGCCCTAGGAGGTTCAACCCACCAACCCCGGCCTCCCAGTTAGACCCTGCTTACCACAACGCCCTCCCCTTTCCCAACCATCCCCACCACCCCGTGTTCTCCTTTCAAGGACAAGGCTACTTGTTGCCACGCAGGGATGGAGCACGGAGCTGGAGCCAGAAGATGCCTGGGGAGAGTCTCTCAGAATCAGCAGAGCCTCGGCCGCTTCCAGTTTCCGCTGCCACTCTGAGGCAGAATCCGAGTCCTGGTCAGAAGATTCAGGAGCCTGCAATGGAAAGGGTGTGAGAGAATGGGACCTGAAAACCCATACCTCCCCACCTCATGGGGCCAGTGGCCCTTCAGTCCCCAGTTCCATTGAAGGTCCCCCCCCACCCCCGGGGGCCTTCATCCTTTCCCATTCACTAAGCCTGGCCCCTGCCAGGGTTCTGGACCCCGCTATTTTCCCAGGATCTGCGGTTGCAGTAGGACAGGGCCAAGGGCGGCACAGGGCTGGAGGACCAGAGCTGAGTCTCTAGAGACAAGGAAAAGAGGGGCCATGGGATTAAACCCTCTGACGGATACATAATACCAGTAGAGAAACAGGGCCAGGATCTTGCACTATCCGGATGTGGGAGTCTGAATGCCTGTTGGCCATTGGTCGGTGTGGCTTGCACAAGTCCTTTCCCCTGTTTAGCCTATTTTCCTTTCTATGTCCTTCCTCAACATCTCTCCTGAGACACTAATTCCTACCAGGATTTTCAAAACTCCCAGGCCAACAGTGATGGGTATGGAAAATCCCAGGTGTCTGTGGTTTAATCTGCAAAGCACCTGGAGAAATGGGATCACTGTCCCTGCCCAGGGACTGCTTCTCACCCCCATATTCCCCAATCCCCATGGAACTTGAAGGACCAGCTTGGCTCATCTAATGGCCTGGGAGCTTTCTCTAATGACCTCTGGACTCTCCCTCTGGGCCCTGTGGCACTCACCGTCCTCCCCACCCCCTTCAACAGGACCTTCTCTCCCATCAGTCTGTTTCCCCTTGGAATAACAGCCTCCATCAGTTGAAGTCCTGCTACGTGGCAGTCCTGGACCTAGTCCTCTTGTCAGTGCTATGTCAGGTGTGGGATATTGTCCCTATCAGTACACTGCTAGTACACTGGAAATGGAGGCTTGGAAACGGAATGTCACTTGCGCAAAGTCTCACAAATAGGAGATGGCAAGGCTGGGAGAGCCCTGCCCTTGCCCGCTAGTCTGAGATGCTGCCTTCTCCACTCCTCCTCCCTGAACCCCTCCTCCCCCTGCCACTTCTTGTCCTGCTCCTCTCCCTCCCCCCCCACCCCCTTCCTTCCCCTCCTCATCCGCCGCCTCCTCCACTCCTTCCTTCTATCTCCCATGGCATCAAGCACAAAGGTTGGGCACCTGGTCACACAATATACATCTAGCTCCATGGGCCTTCTCACTTTACTCACATCCTGGGCAGGGCAGGAGCCCTGTGGGTCTTCCTGGAAAGAGAAATTGTTAGTCGCGTCTTCAAGGCTGCTGGAGTCCAGGACAGAGACAAAGATTTTGGGGTAGGACCAGTCAGCAGAGCTCCTTGGGCGCTTGCCTGCAGAGGCAGAGAGCACAGGGTGGAGTCAGGCACCATGCCGGCCATGGAGAGGAGATGTGTATGGGTATGTACTGGGATGAGGATAGGAGCCCAAAATGTCAGAACTGAGAAGACCTTGAAGACCAGCCAGTTCCTACTATTTATTTTCCACCTGGTGAAACGGAGACTCCAAGAGGACAAGTATTATTTCCTCAAGGTCCCGTGGCAAGCTGCAGTAGGATTAGGAAGGGAACTCATGTCTTCAGGACACAGAGAAGGGTCTGGGCAGTGGGTGAGATGGGAACTTCCCCCACAGGCCCCAGACTCTCCTTATCTCCCTAGGGGTTGGGCAGGTTTGGGTGGGCCTCAAGCTGGGACATGATGTTCTCCTTCCCAGCTATGGAAAGCTGGGGACACTCTGGGTGAGCCTTTCCCTCTGAGCTCACCCCACTCTTCCTCACACCCTGTCTGAGGTCTCATCTCACCGTGGACCATTTTAACCCCCCAGAGCTCTCCTTCCCACCAACACTTGGTAGATAATATTGATGAAGTTGGATAGGTGGGGCAGCTAAAGGCCCGAGGGGTAATTTGCCAAGGCCACATCAAAATTGGGTAGGAGGACTGGTGACAGAACAGCTCAGTGCTCCCTATCGCCAAACCCAGACACCCTCCCTGGCCAGAGACACTCACTGAGGGCTCCGGCTTGAATGGTCAACTTCTTGACATGGCTGTGAGCTTTGGGAGGGGAGGCCTCACTCCTTGTCTGTCCTTGAGCCAGGTGCCTCTTTAGGTTTGCCCCCTGCTCCCTCTTCAAGGCACTCTCAGCAGGCAAGACACTGTGGTGTTCCCTAAAGTGGGGGAGAGCAGGTCTGCAGTCAGTCACATTTTGGGGAGGCTCACCCCCCCATTGTCAGACACTATACTCACGAGAAGAAGATACACTTGTGACACTCGCAGGCCTTGAAGAGGCAGAAGTGATCCTGGTCCTTGACTTGGTCAGTGAAGCCGTGGTTGTAGCAGCGGGCACAGTGACTTACAGCTCTTTTGGGGCCAAGTTCAATCCCCCATGGGGCTCCAGTCTCAAGCCCAATAGGGGGGTCGGAGGGGCAGCAGGGCACAGCAGGCATTTCATTGGGATCCATTGTCCTAGGGCCAGGAGTGGAGGTCAGGTTGGCCACATGATCCCCTACCCTGAACGTACTTCCTCTGCCCTTTGAAAACCCCACCTGAGGTGCCTGGATTCTTCTTCACCCAGCTCATCGCTGAAATCAGATCGCACCCACCTTTCTCACTCATGCAGCCTCCTTCCCAGGAAGCCCCACTCACGCATAGCCTCATTCTAAGGAACTCTTGGCATGGCTCCTGTAAACTTTCAATCGAATCACTATTCTCCTTGCTTCCCTTCCTTCTACATAGACCCCCTTTTCAGGCATACGCATGCACTCGTGTGCCCCCTTTCTTCAATTACTGCCTTCCCCTTCTCGTGTATCATCCTGTACTCTGCCATTCCTCATGATTTTTCCTGTCATGTACTTCCACAATTACCTTCCTAACCTCCTGCATTCATTCACTCCCTACTCATGATTCTAGCTCCCCCCATTCAACTCTATTATTAGTATGTCCTACATTCAACTTTCCTCTCACACCCCATCCTGATTTTCTTCCTGCACCCCACTGTAATCTTAATTCTTCTCTCAGCCCCCCAACACTTTAATCTGACACCCCCTTTGTACCCCCACGAAATTTCATTAAGCTGCTGGACCCCAAGCCCCTCTTTCAATAAGTATTTTTATGCATCCCTTCGATTATTCATTGACTAGATCCTTGCTGAGCCCCCTATCGAATGCCAGACCCTGATCTAGTCAACAGCCAACTCCCCACTGCAGTAATTGTTTTCTTCCACCAACAGAACCCTCTGTGCTCTCATGCAAACCCATGTACTCCCTGCTCAGCCTCCCAACAATCTTCCATGCTCCTCTTCACACTTCAACGGTTAAGCTTGGGTACACTTTCCCCGTCCCTCACACCTGGGGTGCACCACCTCATCTCAGGCCACCCAGTCATTCACTGCCACTGCCACATCAGATTCAAAGGATCAAAGGCAGGGGCACGAGTCCTGCCTTAGGTTCCAGAGGCCAGGGTTCAGGTGCTGAGGCAAGGGTTTTCCTCCCACAGCCATTCGGTGGTTGTTGCCTGGGGGGTGGGGGTGGAGAGGGGACGGGGCGGAGTGGAACATCAGGAGGTGCTCCACTGAGGTTGGAGGAGAGGAGAAGGAGTTGGTCATCCCGAGCAGGAGGGAGGGAGGAAAGAAGATGTGTGGAGAACGAGGGTCCTATTCCTGATGCCAGCCTGTGGTTACCTCAGCCTCCCGCAAGTCGAAATCCAACAGCAGGGACAGAAGGCGGGAGGGAAGACCCAGCTCTCTCTCCCTTTCCCGCCCTTCCCGCAAAGGCCAATGAGCTTCCAGCGCTGCCTTCCCCCTCCCACGGCTGTGACCAGTGACCAATGAGCTTCGAGTTCCATCGAAGTGCACCTACCAAAGCCCCGCCCCTCTCGCCTTCCTCCCACTTTTCCGTGTGCTGGCTTTACTAAGACAGTCAGTAACTCGTGAAGTGAAGTGAAACTTTGTGTTCCCTAAACCTTGTTTCCCAGACTTTGCTCTCTTTGGGTGTGAAATACAATATGTGCATGCATATTTAACTCATGTCCTTGGTATCCTGTAACTGACTTTTACGAAATTCAGCATGTGTTTTTAAGATTCAACCATATTTCTATGTCAGGGTTTGTCAATGGGAGGGGGCGGGGCAATTCTGCACCCCCAGGGAACATTTGGCAGTGCTTGGAGTCATTTTGGTCCATCTTTGCGTGTCTCTGTGTCTGAGCTCCCTCTTCTGTTCCACAGATAAATTTGTCTATTTCTGTGCCACTACTACATCATCTCCATTTTTACGTCTTGATAAGGCATCTTGATCTACGGTAGGGCAAGTCCCCCCACCTTATTCATAACCTTCGAACGTATCTTCCTTATCCTTTGCCTTTCGCCCTTCCAGTATAAATATCGGAATCAGCGTGCCTTGTTCCTTGAAAACTCATTTGCCTCAGATTTGAGTTGCATTTTCATTAAATCTGTGGATAAGTTAGGGGAGTATTGACTATCTTTAGGACACCCAGCCTTCCTAGTCACCAACATGGCATGTCTCTCCGTTTATGTGGGACTTCCTTAGCGTTTTCATCCTTAGTATTTAATTTCGTCTTTCTGTACATTCAGATCTTGTACATCTTTTCTTGCATTTATCCCAAGATGCGCTAGAGTGTTGTTGCTCTTGTGCTTGTTATCCATTTAAAATGACATTTTCTAATTGTATCTAACTTGGAGAAATCCATTTGACTTTCTAAAAACTATACTGACCTTAAAGCCAGCCACCCTGCTAAACTCTGTGATATCTAATCATTTGTCTATAGATGTTCTGCAGTTTTTCATGAATCTGCGAGTTACAGAAGCCCAATAATCAATTTACAGGTTTCTTAAACCTGTACTGGTTGGCTAGGACATCCACTACAAGGCCGAACAGACATGACCAAATTCGACCTCTTTAGGTTGTCCCTAATATTAAATAGAATGCTGCCAACATTTCCATAATAAAAGGGGTTTGCTGTGTTTCACTGTTTTCAACCTCCTTCACTTCCTCTCTTCGTTCCTCCATTCCTTCCTCCCTCTCTCCATTCCTTCTGTCTTTTTCTTGTTTCTTCTTTTCTTCCTTTCTTTTCTTCTTTCTTCCTTTCTCTCTTTTCTTTTTACCCTTTTTTCTTCTTTTTCTTTCCTTTCTCTCCCTTTCTTTCTCTTTCTTTCTTTCTTTCTCTCCCTCTTTCCTTCCTTCCTTCCATCCTTCCTTCCTCCCTCCCACCCTCCTCTCTCTCTTCTTTCTTTCTTTCTCCCTTTCTTCCTTTCTTTCTTCTTTCTCTTTATAAGATTAAGGAGTTTTCCTTATATTTCCAGTTTAATAAGTTTGTTTTAAAAATCATGAATAGGTAGTGAATTTTAGTTTTTTGTCTCTATTGAAATGATCAAAAGTCCATTTGTTTATTCTGTTAATACAGTGTTATTTGTAGATGCTTTTTTCAAAATCTTAAATGAAGCTTATAATCACACAAGGACAAAATTCACAAGTGTGTATCTTAATGAGTTTTCAAAAATTAAACATACACGTTCAGTTAGCACCTAGAGCTAGCCACAGAATATGTTGGCAACACACAAACCTCTCTCACGACTCTATCTGTCTGTCTGTCTGTCTGTCTATCTATCTATCTATCTGAATGCAAAGCCAGTTTTGCCCTCCTAGGATAAATGTAACTTCCTTATGGTGGATCATCTTTTGTAGAGGCTGGGGGGTTCAGTTTGCTAAAATTTTGTTTAGAACTTTTACATCTTCTGCTCATGAGCAAGATCGACTTGAAGTTCCTCTTTCTCATACACTCCTTGCTGGTTCCAGCGTCAAGGTTTTCTAGTCTTACAGCCTGAGTTGGGCAATAGTTTCTCTTTTCTATCCTCTGGAAGTTTTTGTATAAAATTGGGATTGCCTGTCTGGAGACTTTATTAAAACTTGACAACTAAACAGCTGATGTACCTGTTTTCTTCCTTTTTTTCCCCTTAAAAATGTGGGCAATTTCAAACATATACAAACAGGGTTTGCATATAACTTAACAATTTCCAGGTTCATCACAGTAGAGCTGTGCTCCTGGAACATTAGCTTGCATCAGAATCCAAATAAGCTTGTGAAAACAGATTACTGAGCTCCACATCTATGGTCTCAGATTAAAAAATCTGGGGTGGGACCCAGAGTTTGCTTTTCTGGCAAGTTCCCTGGTGATTCAGATGCTGCTGCAGGGGGAACCACACTTTGAGAACACTGTACGAGAGAGAATAGTGAGGGAACCTCCAAGTATCCATCCCTGGGCTGCAACGGTTAACTACTCACAGCCAATTTCATTTCATTTATATCTTCTCCCCTCTGTCTCTTCCAGATTATTTTCAAGAAGATACCAGAAATCATCTCATTTTATTGTGGAACACTTCATCACACAACTCTAAAATATGAGCAATGCATTTTCCTCAACTGTCTCTTTGAAAATAGATTCAAAACACACAAAGTTGAAGAGTGAACATTCTTTCACCTAGATTTCATATTGTCCCCTTGCTTTCTATCTCCTTTTTCTTCTTTTTGCCTAACCACTCAAGTTCCAAACATTTCATGCAATTACTTCCAAATGTAGCTCCTAAGACCTTGGATATTCTCCTAACCATATTACTATTGTCTCACTGAAGAAATTTAATAGTGGCATGATAACATCATCTAAGTCCATACACGGTCCATATTCCAATTTCCCCCAGTTGCCCCAATGATATCCCTTTGAGGGTCAACAGTTCAAGCAAGTATCATACATTGCATTCAGTTGTCATGTCTCTTTAGCATCTTCTAGTCCCAAACAGGCCCTCAACTTAAGAAATCTTCCATGACCATGACATTGTCCAAGAGCCTCGGCCTGTTTGCTTCCAACGTGTCCACAATATGGCTTTGCCTGATATTTTCCTCCCATTCGGATGATTTCTGTTTAACATTTTTGGCAAGGATGTTAAATAGGTGCTGCGTAGTTCACATGACATCACATCTGAGAGCTCCTAAGGTCGGTTTGTCTAACAGTCGGTGCTGCTATTGGCATTACTCAGTTTGATCACTAATTTATGGTATCGTTGGACAGATCAGTCCACTGTAAACATCCCTTTGTCCCTCTGTGACTTACAAGGAGACAGTAGCATGATATTTTGATACCATGTGGGTATATTGTGTTTCCTCCCCACAGAATTTCACCTCTGGGCCTTGGTTTTTGTTCCTGCTTCTTGTCGGATTGGGTTATTACTTTGGTGGTTGAAAAATGGCGACTTCTTATTTGCTTTCATAACTTTCTACATTTACTGGTGGACATTTTGCTGTAAAGATGAACATCCCAGCCCCCCCCAACCCCCACCTTGTTGCTGTTGCTGCTGTTGTGTTTGTAGTAGCAGAGAAAGATGAGAAGCCATTCAGGTGTTGTGTTCAAAGAAACATAAAGAAAATAAAGTGGACAATATTAGGAGACATGTAAA